GTCACTTCCTTTCCTCACTAACTCACGAACAAGAGACTCTAACTCTTCCAGTAACTTTGCCATGACAGTGGGTGTGTCTGCAAATTGTAAGAAGGCGGAGCATATATGTGAAATAATTTGATATGGCGATGATGGAGAAGAGAATACAGTCAACTTAGCATTTAGAGGGAAGGTCTTTCATTCAAATTTCTAATTTCCAGAGTTTTGCAAATTTGCCATTACATTTCGAATTTTCAATCCAAATTTCAAAATTCTGAAATTTCAATTTTCAGAAATCGGCATTTTGTAGTCCAAAAATCCAAAATGATTATTTCTTGAGTTAGCTGTTTCATACCTCTGACTGTAAAAGCCAGAGTCAGAGTGTTAGCATTGGGAGCAAAGGCAAATCTCCAGGTTCAGTCAAATTTTAAAATTTCAGAGATTATGTTCAGAGAAATAGAAAATTTGGAGAAAATTCGGTCAAGATGTTAAAAATCAAAAATTCAAACATTTGCAAATTGACAACCGTCCTAAAGTTCAAAAATCCATAAAATTTGCATTTTGAATGGCGGAAATATACACAGACCAGAAAGCAAATGGAAGATTTCATAGATAAAAATAGATCAAACGCCAGAGCATACTATAAAAGACAATGTAACCGGGTAAAAAGCAAAGCAAAAATTGCTTATAGTAACAATCAGTAACAATCAGTAACAAATCAGTAACAAGTATAAGATTGCTTCTGCAAAGGCCTATTTTAAGCAGTTTCATGCATTGAACCCTGGGTATATATTGCAAAAATGTAAAAATTGGTACAATAAAAACAAGGATAGCAAAATTTTAAAATCTACTTGCTATTCAAAAACAAATTATTTTATCAAACCAGACCATAAAAAAGAAGCCTCTAGAAAGCATTATCAAAATATCCACAACCAAAAAAAGAAGCCTCTAGAGATCAGTATCAAAAGAATCCACAACCAAAGAAAGAAGCCTCTAGAGATCAGTATCAAAAGATTCCTAACTCTCAAGAAAGGAAATCAAAGGAAAGCTATCAGCAAAATTCAGACCCACAACGACAAAAATCTTTGAAACGGTATTATGAAAATAGAGATGCAATACTAAGTGCTACGAAAGATAAATTTCTGAGATATAAATTTTCTGATAACAAAATGGATAAATTAAAGATGGCACTAAATAAAGAATATAAGAAGCGTCTAAATAAAGATTATTATGAACATAATTATAGTCACATGTTGTATACACAACGTTCTAATTACTCATTACCTGTACCAAATAGTGAAGCAAAGGAATATTATTTTATGAAAATTGTGGAAGCATTATATTACAGCCCTGAAATAGTTGATGATTTATTACCATCAAGTATGAAAGGAGTAGACTTTGAAAACATCATATCACAGTAAATGTAATGCTGCATCAAGTATATTGTTCGAATCAGTTTTGAAAAACAGATCCCACAAAGTAGGCGTATTGATACGTGCAGCAAATAGCATTAGGAAATTGAAGTGGAATAGCTTTAGTGATTTTGGTGAGCAATGTCAAAAAAATAGTGAGCTTTATTTTTATAAATCAGCATATTTGTATCCTAATGATGATTTTGATAGTCAATTAGATAGTCCAGTTGCAATCCCTGTTGATACAAATGGCATCTGTTACGTAGCATGGGTTGTTGATGTATCATGTATTGATAGAGTAGAAAAATTTTATGATAGTGACTCTGAAGATGACAATTTTGATAGTAATAGAATGTGTACTAATAAGAGAAAGCCTACCCTCAAATGGCACTATAAAGACAAGTGCAAGCCTTTATTAGAAAGTGACATTAGTTCTATTATTGAAGTTAGACGATATTTTGATGAACCCATTAAAGAATTGAGGAAGCATTTAGATGCATGTGATAATTGTCCTAATAATTATTATATGACAAGATCCCTTCATGTCAAAGAAATAGATCAAGTGCTTGAACATGATTTCTCTGACAATCCTAATGTAACGGTAATTGTTAAAAAAGATGAAAATAATGTTCAAAAATATTTAAAATATTCAGAAATTGTTTGTGAAAAGATAGGCCATCCTATTGTGTGTAGTAGTATTGATACTGATTGTAAAAGTATGCTGCATATTTTATGCAATGCATCTGTTCATTATCCTTTGTTGAGACAGCTTTTGAAACACTTCTATGTTGCTAAAAATGCCCATTTAACAGTAGTTGTCATTGATTCTTCCTTTGCTGATGGTGATATAGCACAATTGATAAATTTAAAAATTAATGAAGCCGATGAGACTGAATTTGATAATGTGTATTACGCTATAAATGATGGTGAAGAAGATGACCCATTTAGAATACCAAACTTTGATACTGTACTTTATTTTCAGTATTCAGATGCTATTGATGAATTTAAGAAAGCTTTGTCTGATCAGGCAGTTCATGCATGTTGTAGCTGTAAGAGGCTTTTAAGAAAAAAATCTGTCACTGAAGCTAAAAATTTAGATAGCGATGTTTGGAATATCCTATTAGATTACATTAGAGGGAATGATCTTACAGCATTAAATAAAGTTATGTATATTTGTAATCATTGTAAACCTATTATTAGAAAAAATGAAAATCCAGCACGTTGTGTGCTCAATGGGTTACAGTGTGAGCCAATACCCAAAGAATTGGAAAATTTGGATCCTTTGAGTTGCCAGTAAATACAGAGGGCCAAATGTTTTCAGACAATTGTTAGGCTAGGAACACACACCTTAAGCCTACATATAATTCTTTGAAGGCTCTTAAAGGTGCAATGTTTTATTTACCCCTTTCATTAGAAAAAACCATGGAAACTTTAAATGAGATTGGTATAGATTCTAATCATTTGCCTAATCCAGAACTTTATTCTATTATTAATGGACATCCTACTAAATCAAGTAATGTCTGGCGTAGCCTAGTTGATGTGAATAAAATAAAAGCAGCACTAAGAAAATTAAAAGAAATAAATTGGCTTTATAGAAATGTGGATGATGATTCCATTGACGAATCGTCTAAAAATGTTATAAAAGTAGTTAGCAATACTACTTGTAAAATGCTTGAAAAAACAAATGATCAAGATTTAGAAAGCCTTTTGGCATATACCATTAAAAATCTTGATAATAAAATTGCAACGGGTTCTGATATCAGTCAATATAAATTAATGAATGTAAAAGAAGTGCCTATAGACAATATGCAAGAGCATCTGGATTTGTTATGCTTTCCTACTTTATTTCCTACTGGACAATATGGAAAGCATCATCCCAGACAAAGCTATCCAGCACAGACTTTATCATTTAGTGAATACATAAAATCTAGACTTTTAAACAAAGATTCCCAATTTCGTAGAAATCATTGATATTGTTTGCACTATTATGGATTAAAAATTAACAAGGCCTTAAAAACTAGCATATATAATTTCTTAAAAACATCAATGGGCAACGTTAGTCAAATTGTTGCTGAAATATTAGATAAAATAAATGTGTTTAATGAAGAATTTGAGAGCAATTTAAGTACCATGTTGGCTCCAATACGAGGCACAAATCAATATTGGTTCCATGTGAAAGGTGAAGTCAAAGCAATGATTGCTGAGTATGGCTCACCAACACTTTTCCTTACATTAAGTTGTGCTGAATATGATTCAGCTGATATAGCGCAATTTTTAAAAAAAAGTGAATAATGCACCACAATCATATAGTATTTCTAGATTATGTACTGAGGATCCTGTTTCAGTATCGCAACAATTTTCATACAAATTTAAGGATTTCTTTAACATAGTCATTCTCCAGAGAGGTGTTCTTGGCGAAGTAGAGCAATATTATGTTAAAAAAGAATATCAAATGCATGGAGGGCCTTATTATCACATCCTTCTATGGATTGAAAATGCTCCTGTTGTCGGTATCGATCGTCCAGAAGAAGTCTGTTCTTTCATACAAGATAGGGTTACCTGTCATATACCAGATTGTAATACGTTG